CACGACCATCAATTTAGTTCATCCAATGACCTAATCATCTAAGGAAGCATTTAAGAGGCCCGAAATATTAGTTGGCTGAATGTGGGCTAGAAAAGGAAAAAGTTTTTTTGGTTTAGTCAGTTCTGCAATTTTCGAATATTTGTTGGACAGATTAAGAAACATGTAATTTTCGACAGTTTTAATCAGAAAAAAGGTTGTTAATCATAGCAGTGATGTGTATTGATTTCACGACGTAATTTGTATGAAAGTGGCTTTTACGTGAAAGACAAAAGAAACAAAATTTCCCATTAGTTTGTTGAGTTGCATGAATTGGCATCATATTATAAACTCTTTATTTATTGCCATTTTTCATTTTTTAATTTACTATGGTTATTTTATGCGAAGTTGTTAATGTTTGTTGTTCTTAATTACTGCAATGAAGTGGAGTAATCGACACATTTGGCGAAACAGATGAACAGGTGATCAGAATAATCCGAAAATGTCCCAACAAATGTGAAAACGACGTGGCTCCAAAATAATTAAAAGAAAAAAAATTGGTCACGTATGTATGTACCAATATTTTCATTAGAAAACTGCTTATATTTAATAAGAACAGAAAATGTATAAAAAATAATAATAAGAAAAAAATTAAACAAGAAGGAAACAATCATATAATGTAGGGCGAAAAAATAAAGAGAAACGGGAAAATTTTCCTTCATTGTGGTTGGTGTAAATTATTGGGGATTTGAAATCCCCTACATATCCATTCCCTCATTTTTTTTTTCTTCTTTTTATCAAATAATTATATGTATAAAATTCTTCCACTATATATTCCGGGCCTCCCTCACCCTCTCTCTCCTTCCACTTCCTTTTACGAAACAAGCTCTTACGGACTTGTTCTACATGTAAATTGCATGCAAATTTGTGTGTGATTATATGATATTATTTGTTTTATGTACGTATCAATAACTTAAAAATGTATGACATGCGGAAATTTCTTTATTATAAGTAATTAAGTATCAATATATCCCTCTTTCTATATATTGTAGTATAAGATCGGTCCTTTTTGAAGGAACCAAACACAAATTCTGTTTTTACGTTCATTTATTATTATTATTTTTTTCATTGCCAATATTTATAATTAGCGGTAGTTATATGTAGGACTTGTCTTGTGGTAGGTGCTGTTATAAACGCGGTCTTGTAGGTTTAGTTAACGTAGTGGGTTAGCAGTAAGAAAAGCAGTAATGTTCTCACGAAAAGCAGTTCAACCATCTAAATTCTATATGGTAATTGTTTATGGTGAAAAAATAAGTGTTTATAATTAATTAGTAGGCACTGAAAAAATGAACTATGAAAAAGACTTTGATTTCAACCGTTGGGTATGTATTAAAAATTGTGTAGTTCTATCACTTTCTCAATTTGATCTAATTTTAACTAAATTCAACAGTTAAAAACTGACCATATTAATAAGGAGATCCAATCAAAGAAACTCCCAATAAAGTAATTATGTTTTTTTCTCTCATCTTTTTTTTTTTTTTTTTTTTTTTTTTTTTTTTTTTTTTTTTTTGTAGTATGGACTATGCCTTGATATTCTAGCTAAATTCTAACATTGCTTCCTCCTAACTTGTCCGTCCATATGGCATATGCTTGTGATGATCTCATCTTTAGTAATATATATCTTGAAGGTGTACTATACCTCCAATTTCCTTAAAATAGAACAATTATTCTCCAACTTGCTTAATTTCTTGTCGAGGTTGAAAAGAGAAATGCGAATACAACTTTAAACTACTCTTATTTCTAATATTAAATGTCCTAAATTTTGATCGATCTTTTTTATTAATTCTAAATTGTTGATTTTCCTTTTGTAGATACAATTTTGTTGTCAAACGACAAATATGAAATACTCACCAATAAAAGAAATGATAACCGACGCTAAACACATATTACAGGTGTTGAGAGTATTAGTGGATTTGCGATTGAACTTTAACTTGTTTGACATTTTGCTCCACAAAGTAAAAATGCACTGTAACAATTCGTTTCTAAACTTGGTAAGTAAAAGTATTTTTCTCACTGAAACTTTCATTAACCGACAGTGATTGCTGCGTTTTTGTTAAACATCATCATCTCTTTAGATAATTTGTGGTATAGTATAAAAAGTACTCGTTGTGTCCTGTAATTTTTAAAATAGCAAATCAAATTAAAATATTATAATTTAATGATACTTAATAAGATGAGACTTTGGTTCATGGGTTCAGAATCATGATTTATGATTCTGATTTTGGAAATTTAAATTTTTTGTGAGAGAAAAACACTGTAGAGAATAAAGAACTATGTTTCAGAACTAAAGATGAACCCTTAAAATAAACATCCCATCAATGATTTAGAATTATGCAATAGCAATTTTAACAAAAACACCGCTTCTCTCAAAACTCTCCTAGCACTGCTTCGCTCCAACAATCAAGTGGGTCAGAGTCTAGTGCTGCCTCTGAGTGGTTCGTGTATCCCAACCCTAGACGTGGTCTTAGTCGCATATGTCGTTGTTAATGGTGGTGAAAGAGCTTGGTTTGGGTGGAGCTCCGGATCTCATTTTAGGAGGTGTTTAGCCACTGCCATGGCCGCCGTCTCTGAGACATCTACTCTGATGGATCTTCAACTCCGAGGTGTCATCCCTTTTGCATTGCAGTCTTTCTCGTGGGGCTCGTGGCTGGCGCTTCTCCGCTACACATTTTATGACGAATGATTTCTTGGTGCCTTCCTCCGTCCCTTATTGTGACAGTTGTTCTACCATCTTTGATCTTGGTGGTCGTCTTCTTATCCTAAGCGTCGCTTATGTGACTTGGGGTTTGTTTAGTTTTTATATTTGTCAAATAATGGCATAGTCAATTTCGTTCATATGGGTGTTTTTGCTATGTGTTTTGGTGTTGTTTATGGTTTTGTTATGTATTAACAAAGATGGTCTCCCGTAGGTTATTTGTTTATTATGCATTTTTTATGATTTTGTAGGTGGCCTTATTTTTGTAGATCTCTCAAACTTGATCGATTGGCCTTTTTCATTGATTGTAGTGATTTTGTTTAGAGAGTCAATTCTATGATCGATTTTTAGTATGTCTTTTTAATTTTTCAATTATGGTACGTCTCACACTTTTAACCTCTTGAGTTTTCATTTAAATATATAACTGGTATCAGTCAATATTTGAGATCGAATTTTATTGTATTTTGGAGTAATTTATATCGGTATTAGTGTTTGTACTTCTCCGATTTATAATGCAATTTTTCCCAAAAAAAAAAATGTAACAAGTTACTTTTTTTAGACAGTAGCGCAATGCCGTCATATAAAGTCAACCTAGGGCCGGCAATTTCAGACACGACACGATAAAACGACACGAAAACGATATGAGATAAATGGGTTTAGACCGCACAATTATTAATTTGGTCGTTAACGGGCTGGCACGAATAACACGAAAATAAATGGGCTGAATTCGTATCAGTCCGTTTAACACGCTTAACCCGTTTAGTTATACAGACCGTTATCGGGCCGACACGGCCCGGCCCGATCCATTTATTAAGCCTATATATATATATATATATATATATATATATATATATATAGACTAAACCCTACTTCTGACTCAGTCTCTGGAGGCTTCTCTTTCTCTCATTCTCTCACCCGTCGTTTCAGGTATTTTTCAAAATTCTCACAACCTCAACACCTCAAATGCAATGGAAGGTAACAAGAATTTCCTTGTGGCATGCCCAAGCTATTTATTTCCTTTCATTAATAAAATGTTTTCTTTTTTCATGAATAGGTTAAAACAACTGGAAACTAATTTTGGTTTTTAGAACGTAGTTGGGCATTCAATCTCAAGGCTCAAAGAATACATTTTCCTATATTTATTTTATGTTTTATGCACTTAAACATTCAAATGTTTAGTTATGTTTTCACACTTATTTAAATGTACTTGGTACTGTTTTTAAACTTCTTTGGATGTTTGGTAATTGGTATATTTTGAAACATATATACTTGATAATCTAATAGTATCATATATATATGTGTGTGTTTGATATTTAGATATTTTAATGTGTGTTGGCTATTATGTATAATTTTAACTATAAGTGATATTAAGTAGTTAAGAATACAATATAAAATTCCACTATTTTTGCTAGTTGGGTCATAAACGGGTCATAAATGTGTTTTTTTTCGTGTCGGCCCGTCACGGTAAGTTTAGTAATCGTGTTCACGTGTCGTGTCGTGTCAACCGTGTTATTAGCGTTTCGTGTCCGTGTTTGGGTTTCTGACATGTTTATTAATCGTGTCGTGTTCGTATTCACTATAACCGTGTTATGCTGTAATCGTGTCGACCCAAACACAACACACAAACATGAATTGCCCGTCCTATGTCGACCCACTCAACTTTTGAAGCACAAGGGGGGGGGGGGGGCTTAACCAGGAAAAATAAAGAGAAAAGGTCCTACTAAAAAAGGTCACATTATTTTATTTTTTCCAAACGAGTTACGTTACACTGGTTAGAGAAAGGAAAAAAAAAAAAGAAAAGAAAGGAAAGTAGGATTTTTACAGTAAATAATTAAATTAAATAGCAAGTTTTAAAAATATTTGGAGTACTATGTGCCTATTACTTTATTTATTTACTATAATTTCTGAAAGAAAAAAAAAAAAGTTATTCTGATCCAAGCTCCCGCCGTTTTTAACTTCCAATTACCGGGCACCGTTAAAACAGTAAACCAATTTGTTTTTCAAAAAAGAAAAAACAGTAAAACCCCATCTTCTCAACCGTTTCAGATTCAAAATTTCCACGCACATCACACGACACTCGCGTCTCTAAGCCGTTACATCAAGAGGCAGCCACGTGTCGCATTCTTCTCGCGAGTGTATAACGCAATACACGCGCGAGAGTACGCATTAGCGCTCATCACCCTCCCATTTTCGTCGTCTCTCTCTTTCCCGCGGCCATTAAATGAGCTTCCTCGATGCACAAACTGTAAATAACACTTTAACGCATGAGACAGATTGCAGAGAGAGAAAGAGAAAGAAAGAAAGAAATAAGAGAGAGAGAGAAAGCTCAACAAACCCAGAGACTCTTACGGAGAGACATGGCCATTCGCCATTAATGCAAAGCTCAACTACCATATTTGCTCACCACAATTAGTACTACCACTACTACTTCTCTCTCACAACACATACACACACACACACTCTCTCTCTCATCAGAAATGGCAGGCTCACATTACCCTACTTTCTCTTAGCTTCTTCTTGTCCTTCCTCTTCTCTTGGCTGAGGATTTCCTTCCTTTTTTTTGGCGATTTTGTACTTTCTGTGACCGGAGATGTGGAACTCGGGGGAGAACGTTTTCGCTCGATCGGCGTCGTACAAGGAGGACGGCGACGACGAGGAGGCGCTCCGGTGGGCGGCGCTGGAGAGGCTTCCGACGTACAAGCGCGTCCGCCGTGGCATTTTCAAGAACATCGTCGGAGATACCAAGGAGGTCGACGTCAGCGAGCTCGAAGCTAACGAGCAGAAGCTCCTCCTGGAGCGACTGGTCAATGCCGTCGACGACGATCCCGGTCTTTTCTTTGATCGGATGCGGCGCAGATTCGACGCGTAAAGTCTTCTCCCTCAACCGTTTGGTTGCTGAGAAAATAGGAAATCTCAGAAAAATTATTAACATGCGAAATGCAGAGTTTTACGGTGATTTCTCTAATTTGACGAATCCTGAAAATGGAGTTTTCGCTTTGCAGTGTGGATTTAGAGTTTCCGAAGATTGAGGTTCGATATCAGAATTTGAAGGTCGAAGCGTTCGTCCATGTGGGAAGCAGAGCGTTGCCGACCATTCCTAATTTCGTTTCAAATATGACCGAGGTTTAACTATATCGCTTTATTTTCATTCATATATATATATATACACATACATATATAACTTGCTTTTTAAATGTCATTTTGAATTGAGCTCTGAATTTACATTCCACGAATTCTATATTTAGGCTTTCTTAAGGCAGCTTCGGATATACAGAGGACAGAGAAGCAAGTTGACGATTTTAGACTCCGTAAGTGGGATCGTAAGGCCTTCTAGATTGACGCTGCTGTTGGGTCCTCCAAGCTCTGGAAAGACCACGCTTTTGCTGGCTCTTGCTGGACGGCTAGGACCTGATCTGCAGGTACTTAATTATGTTTTATTTATATTTCTTATCAGAAATACTTTGATATTTTCAGTTTGTTACTAAATATGAAAATTGAATTAGAACAAGATGATGGGTAGATATAAAATTTATGGTTTGTTGCTTGTTTGGTAGAGGGGAGAGTGAATAGGAAAGAGTAAAGAGGGAGGTAGATAACCTACGTGAGAGAAATGGGCAAGGAGGAAAATATATTATTTCGAATTAAAAGAAGGGAAATAAAAATCACCTCTCTTGTTTGGAATAAAGATGTAAGTGAAAGTTGTATAATTAATTACAGTTTTATTCTTAATTTATAATCAGGCAATTGGATTTAACTAATGTTTGAATGGGGTAATAAAGTAATTTAGCATTCTTGTTAGTTAAGCGAATAAAATCCATCCTATAATCCCTCTAAATTGGGAGCCATTCAAGTTGAAGTTCTTTTAAAGATTTGAAATCTCTTATCCAATTTATTGCCTAATTTTTTCTCTCCTACCAAACAACCATGTGTCTCAAAATTCATCCACTAATCACCCTGACTGTGCCCGTCCTACTTTTCCCTCCTACAAAGTGTTAAGGCCTCTGTTGGAAGTTTTCTAATTGTTGGTTTATGAGTTTACTCACTGAGGTTTGAACATTTTATCAACACTGAGGTTTTTTAGTAGTTGGGTTCTTCTTTTCTCTTTATTTATTGGATACTTCAATCTCTTTGAAGATGTCAGGGGGCGTCACATATAATGGGCATGGCTTTACTGAGTTTGTTGCTCAAAGGACATCTGCATATGTCAGTCAACAGGACTGGCAAGTGCCAGAGATGACTGTAAGGGAAACTCTTGAGTTTGCAGGGCGCTGTCAAGGTGTCGGATTTAAATACGGTAAGATTTGTGAAATCGTAACTTTGTATTTGATTTATTGAGTTGTTAATATTGGGACATTATTAACTAATACTTTTGACAGATATGCTATTGGAACTTGCAAGAAGGGAAAAGATTGCTGGGATAAAACCTGATGAAGATCTTGATTTATTCATGAAGGTACATGATCTGTTTAGGTGCATTTCTTACGTATGTTTTGATACTGATGTAAAATGTCATTGTTCAGTCGTTAGCTCTTGGAGGGCAGGAGACAAGGCTAGTGGTGGAGTATATCATGAAGGTATTATTCTATTGATGCTGGTTATTCTTTCATAAACTTTGACTCATCTTTCAAACATCATCTACTTACCAAAGTTTTTTTCCCTGACATTTCATTGTTAAAACTAACAAAAATCAAGATGCATGGTTATTCTGGATTACTTTGTTGTTCTGTACAATCAATGACTCATACTTTAAACATCAGATTGATAAAATAGAAACTCTTGAAAGCCTGCATTGACAATCTAATGTTGGGATTCTTCCAAGCTTGGTACCTTGCGTTTTACTTAAAACTTGAAGAAGCTGTTCTTGATGGTTTTTTTTTTAGTTTGGCAGCTGCTGGTTTACTTTATGTGGTAAATTGATTGGATCTACTAACCTTTAGTGGATTAAACATGTTGCTTGATGCATGTGGCCCATTTGGAAAGATGTAATTAGGAAATATTTCCTTCATATTCAATCTCTTTCTCAAAGTTTATTTTTATGATATATTGTGGTTTGTCAACTACACTCAGTACTAAAGATAATTCCAAATTACTAAAATATATCTGACAAAGATTTTAGGGTTGGATATATGTGCCGACACCTTGGTGGGAGATGAAATGCTTAAGGGGATCTCAGGGGGGCAAAAGAAGCGACTTACTACAGGTTTATTTGGTGGTTTTATATTTTCCTGTGTCAGTATTTAGCAAAATATATTTGCTGATGGAACATGCATGTTTTCCAGGTGAATTGCTAGTAGGTCCAGCGAGAGTTCTGTTCATGGATGAAATATCAAACGGGCTTGATAGTTCAACTACTTATCAAATCATCAAATATCTTAGGCATTCAACTCGTGCACTGGACGGGACGACTGTTATTTCTCTCCTTCAACCTGCTCCCGAGACCTTTGAGTTGTTTGATGATGTCATTCTTTTGTGTGAAGGCCAAATTGTATATCAGGGTCCTCGTGAAGCTGCTCTTGATTTCTTTTCATCTATGGGATTTAGCTGTCCCGAGCGAAAGAATGTTGCAGACTTCTTGCAGGAAGTAAGTGGTAGAGTGATTAAATTCAAATCCAAACATCCACGCTCTATGTTTGGCATCTTTATTCACCTATTTCCATGCAGGTAATATCAAAGAAGGACCAACAACAGTATTGGTCCAATCCTGACCTCCCTTACCGCTATGTACCAGTGGGAAAGTTTGCTGAAGCTTTTCGTTCGTTTCACATTGGGAAAAATTTATCTGAAGAACTAAACCTTCCTTTTGATAGACGCTATAACCACCCGGCTGCCTTGTCAACTTCTCGTTATGGTATGAAGAGGCTTGAGCTTCTCAAAACGTCTTTTAACTGGCAGAGGTTGTTGATGAAGCGGAATTCATTTATATATATCTTCAAATTCATTCAGGTAAGCTCCTTTTCGTCATTTACATCAGGAAAAACAATGCCAGTGATTTCATTTTGAATTCGATTGGAAAAACAATGAGGAAATTGTTTGAACTCTAAGGTCTTTTCGGTGATGTGAAAATACTATCTTCTTGCCATTATTATTTTCTGCCAACATTCTGAAGAAAGTATTCATGCCATTCTTCTCCTGGTTTACAAGTAATACGTGTTGTTTTTCAGCTTCTTTTCGTTGCTTTGATAACAATGAGTGTCTTTTTCCGAACAACAATGCACCACAATTCAATAGATGATGGGGGCTTATATCTCGGGGCACTGTACTTTTCAATGGTTATAATTCTTTTTAACGGATTCACGGAGGTGTCAATGTTGGTTGCCAAGCTTCCAGTTCTTTACAAGCATAGAGACTTGCATTTCTACCCAAGTTGGGCTTATACACTACCTTCTTGGGTCTTGAGTATTCCAACTTCACTTATGGAGTCTGGCTTTTGGGTTGCAATCACATACTATGTGATTGGATATGATCCTGCAGTCACTAGGTTATCCTTATATTTTCTTGGAATTTCGTTTTTATTTGATTATGACGGTTGAGTGGGAGTGGAGTGGAGTGTTGATTGTGTTGTCATATGCAGATTTTTGCGCCAGCTTTTGTTATATTTCTTGCTGCACCAAATGTCTATAGCTCTTTTTCGTCTAATGGGATCCCTGGGAAGAAATATGATAGTTGCAAACACCTTTGGATCTTTTGCCATGCTGGTTGTTATGGCACTTGGAGGATACGTCATTTCAAGAGGTAAATGGGAAAACATTCTCCAATCTCTATGTTTCTTTCATAGTTGTAAATGGTTTTATTTTTTCTCATTTTTTAATTCTATTGGCTCAGATCGTGTCCCAAGATGGTGGATCTGGGGTTTCTGGTTTTCTCCTCTGATGTATGCTCAAAACGCAGCATCTGTAAATGAATTTCATGGGCATTCCTGGGATAAGGTAAAGCCTGATATTATTTTCTTCATAAACTCGATCGTTCGGAAATTACTTTGCTATTCATGTGGCACATGCAACTATTGTGGGAGTTATATTAAACAAAACCAACAATGAATCTTTTTTTATTTTTTTTGTTTTTGTTTTTGTTTTTGTTTTGTTTTTGTTTTTTTGTTTTTTTTTTTGTTTTTTTGTTTGTTTCCTCTCTTCATCGATTTAAGATAATGTGATAAACTATGCATTTGTAAGTATGGACTTTGGAGGCACTCTCTCACACATGCAAATATCCTAGAGCTTATGGATCTTTGTTCCCATATTTATGTAGGTACTTGGGAATATTACCAGTTCTACTTTAGGAGAGGCAGTATTAAAAGCACGCAGTTTGTTTTCTGAAAGCTACTGGTATTGGATTGGTGTTGGTGCATTGCTTGGATATACAGTTTTGTTCAATGCACTGTTCACGTTCTTCCTATCTTACCTTAACCGTAAGCAATCATATTTGATAAAAACTTTGCTAAATGCCAATTTCCCTAAGTGCGTATAAGTAAAAAAACAAACACACTTAAAGAACAGAAGCTCATGTTTGCAGCTTTGGGAAGGCAGCAGGCTGTAGTCTCTAAGGAAGAGTTACAAGAGAGAGAAAAAAGAAGGAAAGGAGAACCTGTTGTCATTGAGCTTAGACACTACTTGGAGCATTCAGGGTCCTTAAATGGTTTGTAAATCCCCTGTTATGTTTTTTTTTTTTTTTTTTTCTTACAATATCTTTTCTAGAAAATTTATCACGAAAGGAATGTCTAAGATCTGGGCGTCTAAACTTCATATCAGGAAAATATTTCAAGCAAAGAGGCATGGTTCTACCATTCCAACCACTTTCCATGGCTTTCAGCAATATCAATTACTATGTTGATGTTCCCTTGGTGAGTGTTTAACTCCATTTATTCATGTCATTTACTTTGGGAAGCATTTTGACTATATGTTTTCTGATCCAAGTATCAATGCAGGAACTGAAGCAGCAAGGAGTTGTAGAAGACAGATTGCAGCTGTTGATTAATGTTACTGGAGCATTCAGGCCTGGAATTCTTACGGCATTAGTCGGGGTGAGTGGTGCTGGAAAAACAACCCTCATGGATGTATTAGCTGGTAGAAAAACAGGTGGGATCGTTGAAGGGAACATTTATATATCTGGTTATCTGAAAAAACAAGAAACATTCGCAAGAGTTTCTGGTTACTGTGAGCAGACTGATATTCATTCTCCTGGCTTGACCATTCGTGAATCACTTTTGTTCTCTGCTTGGCTTCGCTTACCGCCAAATGTTGGCTTGGACACACAAAAGGTATTTCTAGCATTTTTCATTTTGTCCATCTTCACATGAGATTAATCTATGAAGGGTTAAATTCTTCAGGCTTTTGTGGATGAGGTAATGGAGCTTGTGGAACTCACTTCCTTGAGTGGGGCATTAGTTGGTCTACCTGCAGTTGATGGTTTGTCGACAGAACAGCGAAAAAGGTTAACAATAGCAGTTGAGCTAGTTGCAAACCCTTCTATAGTATTTATGGATGAGCCCACATCGGGGTTGGATGCAAGGGCTGCAGCCATTGTGATGAGGACGGTGAGGAACATTGTGAATACTGGACGGACAATAGTTTGCACCATTCATCAACCCAGCATAGACATATTTGAATCCTTTGATGAGGTATTCAACTCTTTATTTATTTAGTTTGTGTCACTTTGTCATTCTTCTCTTCCCTGTAAACTTGTATCCATATTTGTGTTTTGACATCATCTCTCATTAATTTTTCTTCCTATGTCATATGCTTTCTAGGATTTCCCGCATCTATTGCTCTTAACACCTTTCCCCACTCTTAGGAAAAATTTTCAAGCCTTACCGAGTCTTATAATCTCATCCTTCTTTGCAGCTTTTGTTTATGAAGCGTGGAGGGGAGCTCATATATGCTGGTCCTCTTGGTCCAAGGTCATGTGAGCTCATAAAGTATTTTGAGGTCAGCTTATGCATTTGTTTCATCTCTTAAGGCACGTTTACTTCACATAAAAGGGAAAGGCAAAACTAGGAGTGATTCTCTTTCCTACCTAATCATGTGTTTACTTACAAAATTAGCAATGAGAGTTAAGTAGGCTGTAGGCCCGACCATATGGAATGAGAAAAGAGAACATCAATCCTTGCATCCCCTTGGTATTGTTTCCCTGTCAATTGGAATGGATGCCAAAGTAACTTAGGTACCCTTTAAATTAACATGTTAAAATTCAATGATTATTTAATTATATAAGGATATTTTTGCAATTATAGTGATAAGATAAGTTTAGTAAATACTAGAAGGGGAATTGGATTCTTCTTATTATAGTATCTGATAGATAAGTAAACATTATAAAGGGAATAAATGATCTTTATTCTTATTACTTTACTTTCTCTTCCAATTCTATTATCTTTCCTACTGCATTCCTTTACATTTTGGTAAACACGTCCTTAGAGTATGGTTTCAATTTAAGGCCTTTTATTATACTAGTAGTCAACTTAGTCTTGTAAAAATCTGTTCTTCTAGGCAATCGAAGGGGTGCCAAAGATCAGGCCTGGATATAATCCTGCTGCATGGATGCTTGATGTTACTTCTTTAACTGAAGAGAACCGCTTGGGTGTTGACTTTGCGGAAATTTATCGAGAATCGAATTTATTTCAGTAAGAGCTGAAGTGTTTTCTGGCTCAGTTGGATTTACATGAAACTACTAGTTTATTTATCTAACTATGATCTCTTCCTTTGCTTCAGTGGTAACAGAGAGTTGGTTGAAAGCCTAAGCAAGCCCAGTTCTAATGTGAAAGAACTGTCTTTCCCGACCAAGTATTCCCAATCATTTTTTGAACAGTTTATCACTTGTCTTTGGAAGCAAAACCTGTCTTACTGGCGAAACCCACAATATACTGCAGTTCGTTTCTTTTACACTGTCATTATCTCATTGATGTTTGGAACCATATGCTGGAGATTTGGTGCGAAAAGGTCTTCTCCTTTTTCTTAATCTTTTGTCAATTTAATTGCTCTGCAATCTTGTTCTTATAATATCTATAAACTTGGAATAATTGGAAGTTGTCCACCTTGAGACTATCAGAAGGATAAACACATACAGTTAAAGTTGATCATATAGGAGATGTTTGGTTTATGTATTAGAACCATGTGATTAGAACTATTTTTGATTTACGTGTTATTTTTGTGAGAGAAAATACTGTAGCGAACCACGAACTATGATTCGAATCAGGGAACGAATCTAGGTACCAAACATCCCCATAGTCTTTCCCATTTATATGGACATTGTTTGCATATACTACTTCCAGCTGCAAGATATTATTTTACATTGAACTCAAGTAGTGTCTAATACTAGTAGTGGTAGATGATCTGTGATCTCCTCTTTTCTGGTTGACCCTCATCTGTGGAAGATTTTGTTTTACCAATAGCCATATCAAAGATCTTGAACATTAGAAAATCAAAGGCTAAGGCAATTATATAGTTGTACGCTTGTACTGCAGTTATGCAACGAAAAAACATTGATTACAAAAAACTGTGATATGCTTTTTGGGTAAAGTTATAGCTGGGGGAGAGGGGAACCAAAAGACCTGGTAAATCTTTATCATGAGACAATTTGGTGGTACCTAACTCCTGAAAGGAAATGCGTACTGAAAATGAAGCCATAAGTTTTTGATTGATTCAACTTGGATGTGGCATTCGCTCTCTTGTTGATGCGTTTTTTGATAGTGATCTTTGATTCAATTGGCCATTATGATCTATCCATGGCCTTATATTTTGTTAACGCCAATACCTTTTTTTTTCTTTTTCTTTTTTTTTTCTTTTGTTTTTTTGACAGGGAGAGCCAGCAGGATATATTTAATGCCATGGGATCCATGTACGCAGCTATCCTATTTATCGGAATCACCAATGCCACCGCTGTTCAACCTGTTGTATCTGTCGAAAGATTTGTCTCCTACAGAGAGAGAGCTGCAGGGATGTACTCGGCTCTACCATTTGCGTTTGCTCAGGTTCATCTTGTGATTCTGGTTCCTCCTTCCCACTTGGATAAATGCATGGTTGTAACAGTTAGCTCATGTATTTATTGGTTTTTATGCACAGGTTGCAATAGAGTTCCCCTACGTCTTTGCACAATCCATGATTTACTCCTCAATCTTCTACTCCATGGCTTCATTTGAGTGGACATTTTTGAAATTCGTTTGGTACATATTCTTCATGTTTTTTACCATGCTATACTTCACCTTCTATGGAATGATGACAACTGCTGTCACACCAAACCACAATGTGGCCGCCATCATTGCTGCTCCATTTTATATGCTCTGGAACCTTTTCAGCGGCTTTATGATCCCTCACAAGGTAATATAAGTGATTGCTTATAGTAATTATGTCATCTCTTATTTTTTTAGTTACCTAACACGACAATTAGTACTTTCTGTTATTTAGTCAAGAATATAGGATTATCCCATTTGCTAGTATTGAGCGTTCATGCCTCAGACTATCTAATACCCCTCAAGACATGCCATCTCGATTACAAATTTGCAGAAATTGGATAGCTGATTTGGTCGCCAACCTCAGTTTTGAATATACATGAACCGCTGACTTCATATTTTAAACACCAATTTTTCCATTAAGCCTTTATATAAATCACTGCCAAGAGTACATATACACACGAGCATATTTTCTATTGTTTAGCCTCCTTTTCCTTTTTAAGACACATGCGTTTATAACCCAGAATGACATGTTGTTCCACTTCTTCAGAGAATACCGATATGGTGGAGATGGTACTACTGGGCCAACCCTGTGGCCTGGAGTCTTTATGGCCTCCTGGCTTCGCAATACGGCGACGATAACACACTTGTGAAGTTATCAGATGGAATTCACCAGGTAACTGTGAAGAGGTTGCTCAAAGTAGTATTTGGTTGCAGGCATGATTTCCTGGGCATAGCAGGGATTATGGTGGTTGGTTTCTGTGTCTTTTTTGCTATGATTTTCGCCTTTGCGATAAAATCCTTCAACTTCCAGAGGAGATGACAGGGTCACGAATTGCATACCAGAATAAAATTACTTAAATACTGTGTGTTTTAGAGTCATTTCATGGATTACAAAGTATATGGTCGTCAGCTCCACGTCAAGGAAAACTGCTGAAGTGTGGATTTCTGTATAGTAACGTGATTATAGAACGATTTACATTATTCATTTTTCCTAGAGAGAAGCATATAATTAATGCCAGTTGTTAGCTCGGGAAATTTATGTACTGTCATAATAATGCTTATATGATATTTCAGAATTATATTGTGTTATACAATTCAATTAAATGTTGCAATTAAAGTCGCCTACTATTGTTGGCATGAGTTGATACCAAATAAAAGGAACTAGTACATTCTCTTCATTCTGATATATATGTACCTCAATATTTTGCCCCGTGTGTCTCATATTTTTGTAATCGTCTGTCTACGCCGTAATATATTTATTTGCGGAGAAGATGGTGTTTTATATATTTTTTAAGGCATTTTTTGTGAGCCTACACCCTTATTTTGGGGGACATTTCCCACACTCACACAGCTGACGTGGAGAGCAAAAATGTAGAAAGTTTACCGGTTTTTGCCGGTGTATGTAAATGTTTTTAACCTGCTCACGCTTCCCAATGGGAGATATCAATTATTAAAAAATAATTTCTTTCATCGTAATCAGCCCCAATAGTGTAATAATCATGTGATGAGCCGTAACAAAGAGATGGGGGAGTCGTGACGGGTATTTGAGACTCCAATTTGGAATCAAAAGTCGTATTGAATGAAAGCAAAACGTGATGTCGTTTATGGATCATGGAATTTCTTTTTTGTCGTGAAGGTGATATAAGTTCCATGCAATTTCACTCCTTTGGACCACCTGTCGTGCATTTTGCATGCAATTAAATAGGAAGATGATCTCGGCTGGGCATAGAAGTTGTAGGGCTGACAATTCGTGTTTGCGTGTCGTGTTCGGGTCGGTACGATTATAGTGAACACGAACACGATACGATTAATAAATGTGTCAAAAATTTAAACACGAACACGAAATGCTAATAACATGGTTAACACGGCACGCGAACACGATTACTAAACGTGTCGTGACAGACCGACACGAAAAAAAACACGTTTATGACCCGTTTATGACCCAACTAGCAAAAGTAGTGAAATTTTATATTGTATTCAAAACTATATTAATTGACTACTTAATATCACTTATAATTAAAATCATGCATAATAACCAACACACATTAAAATATTCAAATATCAAACACACACACACACATATATATATATATATATGATACTTGCTACTAGATTATCAAGTAATGTTTCAAAACATATCAATTACTAAACATCTAAAAAAATTTAAAAACATAACCAAGTACATTTAAATAAGTTTAAAAATAAAAGTAAACATTTGAATATTTAAGTGTATAAAACATAAAATAAATATAGAAAAATGTCCACAATGACTACTGTTCATATCAATGATTAACTGTATAGGAAGACTAGAGTTCTTTTTTTTTTTTTTCTCTTTTTCCTTTCAGTATCTTTAGACCAATAAATTCAAGTGAACAGATAAAATTTAATTTCTCATGAAGCAATATGCTTATTAATGAAAGAACCTAAGGAAGCATTGAAATGTCGATGAACAATATTATCCCTTCATAAAACTCTATCACACTAAAAAAAATGCAATTGCCACATCGGCAAGTACAAAACTTGAGAACCTTGCGCAACATAGAACAAGAGTAGCAAAGTAAAAAAATTGAGAATAGAAAAATATCTTGTCAATCTTACCAGGATTACTTCTTCCGTCTCGTCGCTTTTGCTAAAGAAAAATTGAGAATAGAAAAATACCTTGTCAATCTTATTTGCTAAAGAAATGGAAAATACCTGAAATGACAGGTGAGAAAATGAGAGAAAGAGAACCTCCAAAGACTGAGTTAGAAATATAGTTTTGTCTATATATATATATATATATATATATATATATGGGTTTAATAAACGGGTCGGGCCGGGCCGTGTCGGCCTGATAACGATCCGTATAATTAAACGGGTTAAACGTGTTAAACGGGTTGGTACGAATTTTGCCCATTTATTTTTGTGTTATTCGTGTCAGCCCGTTAACGACCCAATTAATGATCGTGCAGTCTAAATTTATTTATCTGGTATCGTTTTCGTGTCGTTTCATTGTATCGTGTCTGAAATTGCCGGCCAAGTTGTATGGTTAGACTCTGCAAAGACAACTAATTTCATGCGCAAAAATGATTTGATCCGAAAAGCGGAGGCTGCGGACAGTAACGGGACTACTGCAGAAGTATTTTTCCAAGTGGATGCTGCTTGGAAAAAATGGAAAAAACGCTGTGGGAATTGTTTTCTACAATTTGGCCTCCACCTTCAGTGGAAGACGTACAGAATTTGTGCATTCCAAGTCAGTTTTGGAAGCAGAACGTATGGCAACCAAATATGCTGTGAAAACAACTTCGAATTACAAACGGGAAAGCGATTCCTTGGTTGCCATTGAAAATGTTATTGATTCGTCCAAGCGCTCAGAATGGTGGTGTGAAGATTTAATTGAAGCTTTGATTTCTCTTCAAAATTCCAAAATTTAAGAGCCTGCGCAGAGTTAAAAGGAGAGAAAACTCACAAATTACTCAAAAAGTCTGAAACATATACAGTGATTCTAGTTTATTTTCGACAAGAAATACCAAAATTTAAGAGGATAGGCGAAATTAAAAGGGGAGAAAACCCACAAATTACTCAAAAATTCTCAAACATTGACAGTGTTTCTAGTTTATTTTCGACCAAAAAAATCTAAAATATAAGAGTGTAGGGAAAGTGAAAAGGAGAGAAAACTCACCGATCAACACGAACCCAAAGATTCAATCGTCGACGGTGAAATTCCTCTATCTCTTCCCTAGTCTTCGGAGATGAAACGGAGACAATACCCACGAAACCAACAAAGCTTTGCCCCTTCTTTTCCTTTTTCTTTTTCTTTTTCTTCTTCTTCTTTTTTTTTTTTTTTTTTCTCTTCATAAATCCTCAACCGGTAGCCCATAACATATATCTTGCCCTTCTCTGCCCGTGAAGCTTTCAACCATTGGATCATTTAAGAATTAAAACAAACTCATCCGACGGTCAATATTCAGTGTGGACAAATCCAGTCATTAACGAACTGGGGTCATAGCCAGGCCCTTGTTTTTTAAAAAGTAATCTCGATAAATATCTCTTAAAAGTATATTAATCAAAATTTTTAAATTTTATTATTAATTTATTATTTTTTAGTTAAATAATTACATTAATAAAAAAATATTTATCAATAATAAAGAGTAAAAATTCATACCCATGTACTTTTAAAGATAAATTATATAGTTTTCTCTTTAAAAAAAAAAAAAAAACTTCAACCTATTTGTTTGCTTGTTTCAACTTAATTGTATGTCTTTTCTTTTTTTTTTAAAAAAATATTGTAATGAAATGATTTTCATGTAAATATTTTGTTATCTAATTTTCCTTTTAAAATACATTTTTTTCAATATGCCATATTTAAATATTTTTTTGACCCAATCTAAAATATATATATTTTTGTTCAATTATGGCTCTGATAAATATATTTTTAACTAATTCCTCATATTCATTATCCTTTTACTTAATTTAAATCACGGGGTTTGCATGTTCTCGGAGTGGGCCTAAAGTTAGGAGACGTTTGATTCATGGATTAAAATCATTTGATTAGAATCATTTTTTATTTACGTGTATTTTTTGTGAGAGAAAACACTGTAAGAAACCATGAACCATGATTCAAATCATGGTTTGAATCCTCTAACCAAACATCCAATTAGTCATCTTTTCTTCGCAGATGATAGGTTAGTTTTCTACAATGCAAAGGTGGAGGAATGCGCTGCGATTAAAGAGGTCCTGCGGATTTATGAAGAAGCTTCAAGTCAGAGTATAAATTTTCAAAAATTGTCTATCACTTATGAAGAAGCTTTGGGCAAAAAAGTAATTACACCAATAATAATTTTATTATTTCTTTAGTTTTACTTTTAATATCAAACCAAAAAAAAAAAAAGTAGATTTATTTTCTTTCTTCCCTATCATACTAAATAAGTTAAAGGAATAATCAAAATTTTTTTTATCCTTTTAATTTTCTACACATTATAGTTTTATTTTCCCTTCTATTTTCTTTCTATCTTTCCCAACAGAGCGTTACAGTCCAAATGTGGTGACAGGACTGAGATTGGCTATTTAATCTGTTCTAGGGTTGAATGCTGCTGCATCCCATGAGCGCTATTTGGATTTAATCCTACGTTGGTTGGAAAAAGTAGGAAGCAAACTTTCAGGCTAATAAAGGAACGTGTGGGGAAAAAATTACAGCAATATTGGAAGGGGAAGATGTTTTCCTAAGGGGGTAAGGAATTATTTTGATTAAGGCTGTGGCTCTCGCTTATTCCAAACTGTACGATGAGTGTGTTTCGGATGCCGAAAGGTTTGTGTGATGATTTACACCAACTAATTGCTCGCTTTACATTGGTGGTCTTGGGAAAAACTTTGTAAACCCAAATCTAAAGGTGGCTTGGGTTTTCGAGATCTTGAGATTTTTACTCAAGCGTTACTTGCAAAGCAATGCTGGAGGATAGTGTGAAATCTTAGGGCCCGTTTACTTCACTGATTCGAGTTTATAATTTGAGTTGAGATGTGATTTTGTGTGAGAGCTTTTTACTGTAGTAAAAAAATTAGATGTGACTGTTTTTGAGAGCTTTTTACTGTAGCAAAACTCGAATTCTGAACTCAAATCGGCGAAATGAACGAGACCTTAGTTCTCTATTGCGATCAAATTTTTTTGACTTGGAGATATTGTTGAGTTGATTCAGAGCATACCGATTGGAAATCATAGGTGTGAGGATTCTCTAATATGGCATTATGACGGCAAGGGTCAATATTAGGTTAAATCTGGTTTTTGTCGGGCTTTGGAGGACAAGTATGGTAAGTTTTCGTCTAGAGAGAGTGCAGATCGGGGTTGGTGGATTTTTTTGTGGTATTTAAACATCCTTCATAAAGTGAACCTCTTTGCTTGGAGAGCCTTTCATGATATCCTGCCATCTTTGAACTCTTTGAGCTGTCGTGGGCTTGCTTATTCTGTGAGCCTTTCATCCTTATTTTTTTTTTCATATATAATCTAATCCGTTTGATTGTATATCATTAGAATACTTTTTCATTTGAATGTATCTCTATTACACAATATTTTTTTTTCAAATATATTTTACTTGAATTTATTTAGATGTTCTAGAATATTATTTT